AAAAAAAAAAAACAAAAACAAAGAAAGAAAGATATTCAATACGAACGGAATAAACAAACAAACAAACAAAGTTTCTACTCTCTCTCTCTCTCTCTTTCTCTTCTACTATCAATACTACTATTATTAATATTATTACTACTACCATCCCTACTATAGTTTTTCTTTTTCTTTTCTTTCCTAATTTCTAACATACACAAAGTAGTTGTAATGAAATACCTCTCGTGGGGGTTCTTTTTCTTCTTTTTCTTTATACAGAAATCCATACATAGAAATACAAATAAGCAAATCCAACACATAAGATAAAAAAAAAAACTGCTTAAGAACTACTACAGTCTTTCCCCCCACTATATATCATTATCATCAACAACTCTATAAGAAAAATAATAATAATAATAATAATAATAAAGAGAAGAAGTACCTGTTGAAATACTCAACTTGGTATTATTATTATTATTATTATTATTATTATTATTATTATTTAGTATTCTTTTCCTCTCTTTAAAATTAGAGCAAACATAACTTTTCATTCATTTCCCTAATCACTATACACATACCCATAAAAGATAGATAGATAGATAGAGAGACTGTATATATGTAAGTATATATATATATATATATATATATATGTGTATTTATTTCACTTTGCTATTCTTTTTTTTTCCAATCAAACTCTATACATTTCTTTTCTTATTTTCTTCTTTCCTGCTGCCTATTTTCAATGTTTACTATTATCCCATCAAAAGAAAAAGAAAACAAACCAAACCAATTTCTTATATATATATCGCCACCCAATTCCCTCCCCATCCCAAGAAGAAAAATAAAATTAAATAATAATATTAGTACTAAAGAAGAAAAGAAAACCTCCTCTTCTTCTTCTTTCTACTAATCCAAAACCCCATATTTTTTTATTCCCATGAATGAACAAACCCCAAACTTTACACCTTTTTTCCTCTTTTTTTTTTTTCTTCTTTTCTCTCTTTTTTTCTTCTACTTATCATTCCATTACATTAATAGAATTCTACGCCTCTTCCACAGGAGGCCATCCTCATTATTACACTACTTACTACATGATAGATATCCACACACATATATGCTTTCGCTTTTCTCTCCATGTTGATATCATTTAAACAAACACAAAAAAAGAGAGAAAATCCATAATTGATGTATATATAATAATAATAATAATAATAATAATAATAATAATACTAATCATAATAAGAGGGATAATGCTATATATAAAGTCAAAAAAATCACGCAAAGTAAAGACTAAATAAATCCATACATATATATATATATATATATATATATATGTATAGACCGATCAATAGATCTGTTGCTTTGAAATGTGAAGGAAATATATGTGAACGAAACATCAAACAAAGAAAGAATTGGATAACATATATATATGTATATATATCATTTCATCAACGTTCGAATAAAAACAAGCAAAAAAAAAAACACTGAATGTGGATCAAAAATTCGCAGTGATAAGAGCAAAGAAACAGTAATAAACAAACAAACAAAAAAACAAAAAAACGAAGAAAGAAAAAAAGGAGGCTGAAGACCTTCCAACACAATGTAAAGAAAAAGAAGAGAGAGAAATCCATTTGTGAGGTAATGAAACCCCCCTTCATAATAAAAAGAAGAACAACAATATAAATAAAAAAGGTATTAACACACATACGGAGAAGCGTACTACTTTAAACAAGTCATTGGAATCATTTTCATTTTTTCTTTTGTTTTTTTTTTTTTTCCTTCCTTTCTTTTCCTCTTTTCAATCTTATTTACTTTTCTTTTTTCTTTTTCTCTCTTTTGGTTTCTTCATTTTGATTTTTTTTTTGTTATTATTATTATTATTATTTGATTGCTTTGATTGTTGTTGTTGTAGCTGTGATGCACTTTTTGTGCAATGATGATAAAAACAAAAAAAAAAACAAAAAAAATGTACGCTTCTCTCTCTTTCTTTTTCTCTTTTTTGATTCCTTCTCATTTTTCTTTTCTTTTCCTCTTTCTTTATTGTAAACAAACAACAATAAAACAACAAAAAACAAAGAAAAAGGCATTGGCCCCTTCACACACAAACACACACAAACAAACAATATTACATTTCTGGTGATTGAAAGACCTGAATCATGTGAAGAGGCGGCAACATTCTCCAGAAGTGATGATCCCCCACCGCCGCCGTCTGCACATCAAAACTCTGAAAAAAGTCTGTGAGGAATTCACTGTCATTTAACAACTGCGGGAAAAGAATCTCGCGTAGATGATGCACACCGCCCTCCATTAACATTTCCTCTAATTGCTGAAGAACAACACCAAAGACTTCTTTAGCTCTTCGGGCAATAAGAACATATACACAACGGGCCACCACTGGATGTGTGGTCTCCATCGTTAAACCAATCGTCAAGAGTACATTCAATACATAAGTGTGAAGCTGTACATTGCAGTGATATACACATTCGTGTAGTAGTTGTTGTTGTTGTAATTCTTCTTTCAGGTTTTGTACATTATCGTTAGCGTCCTCTTCTTGATCGTCTGTTGGTAGAACTCCCATTGCGGCATTAAATACAGCGGCCTCCTGTTCATCTTCTTCATTCATGTTGACCACACTAAGGAAATCAAATCCTTGACAGAGTGGATTCACTGTACATATCATTTCCTCATCCTGTCGACTTCCTTCCATCATTGCAGTCTCTTGTGTATAGTGTAACTCCTCTACCGCATTTCCTTCTACAGATACCATCGTTGCTCTCTCTACCATCAGAGTATCATTCACCTTATTATTATTATTATGATAAGGTTGATGAGGTTGATGGTTTCCTTGTTCTTTTACTCTGAGCATATAAGAGGATGTTAATAAAGGAGATGGAGGTAACTTGGAGGAGGAAGAGGATAGATTGGGTCGCTGCAAATGTGTACAAGGTATCATATTACAATACGTAACTACATTGTGAATAGATGAAAGAGCCTCCTCTATATTTCCTTTACAGGCATATAACATAAAGGTAAGAAGATGCGTAACAAGACGAAGTTGTATCAATTGCTGCTTCTGCACCATTTCTTCTATTTGCGTTACGGAGGTAGCTTCTAATACATAACCCATTTTATCCACTTGGGGATCCACAACGGTGAGAATCCTTCGAAGAGCTCCAATGGCGTCGTAAAATTGTTCACCAGTCGTAATATATCGTTGTGCACATCGCATTACAGTCAACACTAATGCCTTTGCACGATCAAGAAGATACATCTGCGAGACTGTTCCCACAGCACCAGCACCAGCAGCAGTAGTAGTAACAGCAGCAGCAGTCGTAGAGGACGATGATGACGGTGAGAGAGAATAGCCATTAACCCCAACAGAGAGAGCCGTATATGAAAGTTTTATTGGTGTTGGGATATGTTCATCTTGTAATGAGAGTATATCATCATTATAGGATTCACGATTACAATTTCCCACCACGTGGGTTTGCGATGAGGATTGATTGAAGAATATTGGGGTAATATTATTACATGTGCCTTCATTGGTGAGAGGAGGATTGTTGTTGGTTCCGGATACATGTAAGACTGGTGTAATACCTGCCGACTCATCATCTGAGTTTGAACCAGAAATGGAATGATATCCCATATAATGTTGTTGTTGTTGTTGCTGTTGTTGTTGTTGTAAGTGTGGTAATGGTAAAGATGGTGATAAGGATGCCTGTTCTTGATAATAATATGAGTGATTATAAGAATAATGATTATGTTGTTGCTGTTGTTGTGGTCCTTCTGCTTCTTGTTCATCCTCTCCTCTGTGTGGTTCCTGTTGCTTTGGGAGCAACTCATGAAGCGCACGCATTTCATTCTGTTTCTCCACCAAATGCCGCGGTGCTGGAATATGATACTTCCCATTCCCATTATTCCCATTTCCATTATTCCCACTACTACCACTCCTATTATTATTATTATTATTATTATTACTATTACTGTTGCTGCGGTTGCTACTACTGTGGTTGTGGTTATTGTGGTTGTTGTGATTACTTCCGCTGCTGTTACTCCGCGCGGCGCCTTCTTTTCGCTTCAAGTTGTGATAACTGTCGACGGCCTCCTTCAGTGTGCGGTGGGCGAAGCTGCCGGTGCCGAAAATACACGCGATCCCCGCGGCCTCGTCGGCGTCGTGGAAGACGCGGTCGACGATCGCCTGTTTGGCGGCGGTGCACTTCAGCCGCAGCGGCGGGCGGCCGGCGCCGTTCGGGAGTTCCGCCCCGCTGCGCCGCAACATCGCCGCCGCCCCCCGCCGGTCCGCAAACTCGACGAAGCCGTACACCCAATGCTGCGCACCGCCGGCCGCTGAGCCGCAGAGCCGCACACGTGTGTAGACGCCGCACTCCCCGCAGAGCGCCGCGAGATCGCCCTGCCGCATCGATGTGGGCAGAAAGCGCAGGTGGACGGTGCGGGCGAGGAGAGACGCGTCGGAGGCGACAAGCCGCTGGCGGGTGGATTTGGGAAGCGACTTGTAGGCGTGATGCTGACGGTGTTCATCCTGTTGAGAGGCGGGCGGGAGGATCTCCTCTTCTCCACCGCCATTGTTGTTGTGGTGGTGATTGTTATTGTTGTAATGGTAATTGTAATTGTTGTTGTTGTTGTTGTTATTGTGTGCGAAGGGCGATGTGGACGGCGATGGGGAATGTGCAGGAGACGGACGTGATCGTCGGCCCATCTTCTCTAATAATCCACGGATCTACCTATGTATGTATATATATATACACAATCAGGTAGATCAATAGATAGATAATATATGTGAAAGTGTGTATGCGTATGTGTATACTTGTGAATGTGAACTATAGTTGTATCACCTTCTTCTTCTTTTTTCTTTTTTATACTTGTTCTTTGCTTTTGTTTTTGTTCTTGTTGTTGTTGTTATTACTGTTTTTTTTTTTTTGTTTGTTTGTTTGTTGTTGAAATTGTGTTTGTGTTTGTGAGTTTGTGAGTATGTGGCTGGGAGTACTGTGTGTATACGTCTATTATTATACGTATCGTGACTCTTCTTTCCCTACTTCTAAAACTGTGTTTGTGTGTGTAATTCCCTATTTCTCCTACCTGTACTCTCCTCTCACTCACTATTCTTTTTCTTCTTCTGCTAATATATATATATATTTATATTTATATTTACTCAACTCCCACAGTGTGTCCTCTTAGCCACCTTCAATAATTGTGAATGGTCTCACAAGCAGTTTCACGAAACCTCAAAAAAAATAAAAAAATGAAAAAAAAATGTCCACACAAACAACAACACAACAAAGAAGAAAGAAAGAAAGAAATAGAAATAAGGAAATAATAAGAAACTGTAGATAACGCCAACATTAAAGAATAACAATAAGAAGAAGAACAACATCAACAGTATGAAGAAGAGGATGAATAATAATAATAATAAGAACAGTAAAAGATAAAAAAAAAATGAGCAGACACAAGAACATCGAATGAAATTAAGAATAAATAAATAAATAAAAATGATGTTTTAAAAAAATTAAGAAAAAAAAAAGAAGAGTGAGAGAAAAAAGAAAAAAAAAAATCGGTTTCTTTTCTTTTTTCTTCCCAGCAAAGACATCGTTCAGTATATGCAAGAAATAAAGAAAAGAAAAAAGGTGTAAAGATATTCAGAAAGAAAGAAAGAAAAAAAAAAGACAATATACGGATCAGAATATAAACAAACAGTTCACACTAGGGCACACGTTAAAGATATACCCCAACTTATTATTCATTATTCATTATTTATTGTTGTTGTCTTTTTTTTTTTTTTCTTCTTTTTAGAATTTCTTTTTTCTTTTCTTTTCTTTAATTTCTCTTTCTCTCAATAAATATATGATGGGATTCCATTACAATATCTATATATTGGAATCGTCAAACCTTCCAACAAATTCACTAAACAACTCTCTTTTCTTCTATCCGCTCTCTCATACGCATTCTTCTTTCTCTTTCTCCCTTTCTCTCTCTCTCTCTCCTTTTTTCTTTTTTTTTCCCTCTTACTTTCCATCTTATTTTCACTTCTCTTTACTTCTTTTATCTCCCTTCTTGTTTGAAATCATTTTACGTGCAATTTCTTTTTCATTGTTTCTTTCCATCCCCTTTACTTCTTCTTTACCTTTTTTTCTCTTCTTGAGAACATTTCAACATGTTTTTTTCCGTTTCTTCAACATGTCTCTCTCTCTCTTACACCTCGATCTTCCGCCCTACATATATATAAATATATATATATTTATATTATTTACTTATTTATATAGATAGATAGAAACAGAAAAAACAACAACGCCCTTTGCATTTAATTCCTCCATTCATATGCATCCATAAATACACACTCAAGCCATACACTCATAACAAGAGAAAAAAGAGAAAGAAAGAGAAAGAGAGGCCAGTATATACGTTTATATACGAAATTCTTTTTTTTCTCATTCTCTCCCTTCTACTTTGCATAGAGCCACTACAACAACAACAAAAAGGAAAGAACAATAGAACACACCATTAATACTATAAGGAAAGAGTGAACAGAGAACGAACAAACAACAAACAAAAAAGCATCAACTTCTCTACAAAGAAACGCAGATTTGCATTTAAATATACGCCATACCTTCCACCTACATATAAAAATATATCCACAGACACCCATATATATATATGCACTAAGACTCAAAGAAAGACATAGACCCCTATCTCTCCCTCTCTCTTCACATATGAAAAGAAAAATGGCAAATATACTCAAGCAACTAGTAAACAGAGCAAAAATAAATCGAAAAGGAAAAATAACAACAATCATTATTCAAGATAATAGTGATAATAGGTAACTTTGAGTGTCCCCCACCGAAAAAAAAACACATACAGAAATACATGGAGGAATAGGAAACAGAAATAAAAAGGGATATATATATATATTCTCACATATCCTCTGTACGTATCTATTTTTAACATTCGTTCGGTTTTGCGCATATACATCTCTTTACGTTAAACTTTCCATTCGTTCATTATTGTTTTTTCTTAACTTCCAAATCTCTATTCATTTATACACCTTTCCCCTTTTTTTCACTCATATATATATATATATATATATATATATATATAGCTATAGACCACTCTCTCTCTCTCTATCTCTCCTTCCCTTTCTCTCTGTATGTGTCTGTGCATGTGTTTGCCTGATTATATGTGTACTCTTATCTATATATATAGATAGATAGATATATACCACACATGTCCTGTCGCCCCACCGTTATGTTCCTATACGGGGAGAAGATGTGATTTACGATCAAATCATCACAGAAAATAGAGAAGAAAAAGAAGAGCACGAAAAACAAGATTGTCTTTTCTTTTCTTTTTTTGTTGTTTCCTTTTCTGTTTAGGAGGAGTGCAGTTTACGTCAAACTTCACTGCTCTTCTTCTTTTATTCTATTTTATTCTTTTTTTTTTCACATTGCTATGTATAAAAAGGACATACTTTGAAACCAATACAGTGCTTATTTAAAAAAAAAAGAAAAAAAAAGAAAAAAAGCTACACCAGGGTAATTCATTAGAAATAACAAAAAGCCCTGATGTTTAGTAGTTAAGTCTACGTATTCATTAATACATTCATTTTTTTTTTTTGTAGATTTCCCATCCACTTCTCAAAGTGAGATATTTGTTGTTCCTTTTCTTCTTGCTATGACTGGTTCTGCTGGCTGTGAGGATGACATTAACCGTTTCTCGTGAACAGTAGAAAGAGTAGCCGCATTTGTACTCACCCCATTTTGACTATTTTGACCATTGCAGTGTTTGTGAGGAGGATTATCAATATGAGGATTAGCAGATGTGTGAGGACATGTATGTAATTTCTTCTCTTGTGTCTTCTTACGCATTAAACCAAGACGTTCTCTTTCTGCCTTTAACTCATTAAATGACATGGAGGGTCGATTAAGAACTTCAGATTGTCCTTTGCAGCTTCGAGAACGCCGATTATTATCAGAACCGACAGCAACAGCACCAGCAGCAGTACGTAAAGGAGAAGCTTTTCGCAATACTTGTCTAGATGGACGTTGTGCTGTGTTGAACCGATCATTTTCACCTTCCTTTATCTCCTGCGGTGTTGTTACTGTCAGTAAAACCCCAAAGCCATCAGCGAGTTTCTCATTATTGGAATGATTTAAATGATTCTTTTTCTGTGGTTCACACGGGAGTGATCGATTGGGGGAAAAATAACGAACGGGTGGACATGATTTGTGTCGTGTGAGAAGACCATTTCGTGCAGGATCATGTGCCGTGCGTGTAGCTCTAGTGTGAAAACCCAAACCCTCTTCTTCTTGATGTTGTTGTTGTTGTTGATGTTGTTGTTGTTGATGTTGTTCATTTCGTTTGGCTTGTAGTTCTGCAGTGGCGAGGCGTGGAGCTGAGGCAGAGAGAATGTTATTATATCGCTTTCGTGAGTTTTGAATAGCCTCACGTCGTTCCTGCAATTCCTTCATGAGATCACGTGTTTGTTTATGCAAGTGAGTCATTGGCATAGAAGAGATAAGACGTGAAGAAGTTGTTTGACTGCGTTCACTTGAATGTGCTTCTCTTCTTCCTTGTTGTTGTTGTTGTGTTTGTGGTCTTCTTTCTCTCATTGGTGTATGTATATAATGAGATCCATTTCGTTCCATCTCTTTAAATGCCGCTGTTGGATTATATACAGTTTTCTGTTGAGCCTGCATAAACTTTGAAGGATGTCTGTATGGTGATCCTGAACGATTGTCTGAGATACGACCAACGGCCTTTGGAAGACAATCCTCCTCTGTAAGAATAGGAAAGGGTTGACTGCTGCGTCTACGACTAGTACTGTTTTCCATTTGTTCTTTAGACTGTGAAAAGGTATGTTTACTATCTATACGGTGAACCTTCTCCACCAATGTCTCCTCTTTAGATGGGTGTACATCTGCTGTGGGTGGGACTATTACTCCAATAGTCGCATGTGTTCCATTTGGTGTATGTATAGATGTAGCGGATTCACCTGTTCCTCTTCTTTTTATTTCTACTGTTGATAATTCATTCACATCCACATTCATACTTGCGGAGGTGGCGGATGCTGAAGGATGTAGTTGTGGTTTTTCCTTTTTCTTCTTCTCTCGTTGTTTTTTATTCTCTTGTTCCTTCTTCTCTTGTTCCTTCTTCTCATGTTCTCTCTTTTCATGTTCTTTCTTTTCACGCTCCCTCTTCTCATGTTCATCCTTCTTCTTTTTCTTCTTCTTTTCTTCTTCTTTATCTTCTTCTTCTTCATCCTTCTGTGGTTGCGGTAGTAATGGTGGTGGGGTTGTTAACACCGTTGTCTCTTGCTGCGGTTTAATTGTTAATGGACATCCTGTTACAATACTGGTGGTATGCATGGCAAACTCCGCTGGTGTGAGAAACAGCTGTTCACACTGTTCACATCGGAATTGACTTCCACTGCATGAACTGCGTAGATGTTCATACATATCTATACGTGATACCACCTCACCGCAGCCAACACATGAAACCATTGTATTTCGCTCCTCACATGTGTAAGTTCTGTGAGCACTGATTTGTGACGCCGGCATGAGAGCCCCGCAGAAACCGCAATTCACTTCTCTCTGTGCACATCGTGTAATGTGTGCGGCGGAGCCAAGATGTCGACAATACGGACATGTGCGAACAGAAGCGGGAAGAAGTGATTTCTTTGGTGTTGGGGAACTTCCTGCGGCTACTGTATTGGTGGTGGTGTTTGTTGTTGTGTTTGCGGTTGAGGGGTTGAGGGAGTTGTTGTCTGTGGAGGATCGGCGAGTGGCGTTCACATTCATAACGGCTATCGTGGGAGGATTGGCTGCTGTCACCGTCATGCGGGCTGCAGGGCAACAGTGATGGGATAATGGGGAAATGCGAAATTCCTCGTATATGCACTAAACCCATATATATATAGATAGATATAAATATAGATAGATAGGTATAGATAGAAAGGAATGAATGAAATGAAATTTAATCAATAAAATCAAAAAGAAAAATAAAAAGAAACAAAGAAAAAATAAAACAGAATTAAAAATGAAAACCAAAAATAAAGGGAAGATTTACCTCCCGTATATATATATATCTTTTCCTATACCATTTTATTTTTTATTTCTTCCAAGAAAAGAAAGGACAGTACTGTTAATAATGCAGCACAAATCAAAAACAAACAAAAAAAAAAAAGAAATTCAACGAAACACCAATCAATTCCAAATATAAATAATAATAATAAAAAACAGGAAAAAAAAAACATGTTTTCCAAAAATAATTCATCGACAATAAAATTCAATACGCCCTCTTGCAATTTTCTTCCAAATTCTCCGTAAAGGATTGGTGTCATTTCCAAACATTTCCATAAACTCTTTATACTCACTCTCCCATAAATGATGAATCATCATAGAGGTTCTTCTCACCGGTTCCGGTCGCACACCTTCATGTACATCATGAAATGAACATCGTCTTTCCATAAAGTACACTAATTTATTATGATAATTACTTTTCCGAAGAATATAGCCCACCATCATATCTTCCGAATTTACATAATTGGCTGCATACTCCGCAAGCCGTTTCTCACTATAGGGAAGATATACCAAACGTTTTACCGGTAAATAAGAAACTAATTGAACTGCAGCATCACGGGAAAGAGTATAGCATGGCCCTAACGCAAATCGATACTTTATAGGAATATCAAAGTCTCGAGTCTTCGCCGCATAAATGGCTCCCCAATACATTCCATTTCGTGGAAGCATCTCTAACTGATAAAGGAACTGAGGTACACGTAAGAATATATCATCATCTCCCTTGGCAATAAAGCTTACATGAGGGAATAACTTTAGTGCTTTCTCAAACCACATAAATACTTTTCGACCCATACCCACTTCAGCTTCAGTACCCCAGTAACCATTACGACCAATTGTTTTGTTAGTACTGGACCGTCCCTCATTTATAGGCAGTGTAATAATATCATGATACTCTGCCACTTCCTTCAGTAGTGACTCAGAATACTTATATCCCTTTGATGGGTGCCGTGCAAGTACATACAACACCAACATGGCCCCAGTGAAGTTATTCGCCCTCCGTGCAACACCAGGGAACTGCCAGCACGTAGTCCGCTGCAGATAACGGCGTCTCCGCCTTCCATCAATGTCCACAGATGGGATGCCAAACACAATGAGGTAGTCCCTCTCCTTCCATGTCTGTACTGTACTGTGTGGAATGTAGGGCAGAGACTCATCAAGGGAAGATGTGTTCTCAGGCAAGGGAACAGTAATCTCTGTAAAAGAATGCAGTGATGATGAACCTTCAAAAGTATTTTCAGAAACCGGTTGTACACTTAAAGATGTAGGAAGTGACCATATCATGAAAAGCACTGCAACACATACCATATAGATAAAGAGTGAACATTGATTCACAATTGAACTTCCAATCTTCATTTTCAAATCCCTTAATTCCCTTGGGTAGTAAAGGGTAATAGAGCAGTGATAAGAAGAAAAGATGCCCAAAGAGGTCAATTACCAATCATCACATATTTCGTTCAATATGTATATGCATAAGGAGTCTTTTAGTGTATTGTGGAGATTGTATACAGTACAATGCTGTGCATGGAGAGTAAAGGTGTCAGTACACTGAGTGCCGCAGGAACACTCTGCATTGTGTGGTCTCAGACAGAGACTGAGAATACAAGGGGCTTCCCATTTCACAGTGAACACCAAAAAGAGAGACTGGCACACAGAAACAGCACAAGCACAGAAAGTAAGATTAAGAGATATATTACCACCAGAAGCAACAAATGCGAAAAAAAAAAATGAATAAGAAAACAAACATTTGTTATTACCTTTCAATGGAAAAGGAAACTAATGAGGCACAACACCCCAGTGGGAGACACTCTGCAACTCACCAATCCAAATCACAGCACTGCGGATATAGAGTGAACCCACCTAACGTATTTACCCAGAAGAAAGAAAAAAGGGATTCCCATCTCAATACGTAAGCCGCAGTTATTATCACATGAAGTCTTTCAATCTCCATTGTGTCCAAGTCCGTATTTAAACTCATACCACCATGAGTCATCCACAGTCATCACTGCTCATTTACACAGAAGTCTGAAGTTCTTTTTATTGACATATTTCCGTCGTCTGTAACTACCAGTATCGTTTCTAAACAAATCAAAAAGTTCTCTGTAGTCCTTTTCCCGCAAGTGATGTATCATGATAGAGCTACGCCCTATAGGACCAATACGAACTCCACTGTAAATATCGTGAAAAGAACACGCCATTTCCTTCACAAAAACAACATGACGATAATAACCAGACTTTTGCAATATAAGCCCAACCATGGCATCTTCAGAGTGCAGCTCCATCGCTCTATACTCTGCCTCTCGTTCACTGCGGAATGGTTGACTTATCAAACGCTGCAGTGGTTCATATGATATAATACTCTTCACAGCATCCCTACCAAGTGTATAGAGAGAACCCAATGCAAAACGATACTTTAAAGTAACATTCCCCTCACGTAGTCTTGCTGGGCAAAGATCACCCCAGTAAAGACCTCGACGTGGTAAAGTACGAAGATCCGTAAGGAACTGAGGCACACGCAAAAACATATCATCATCACCTTTCGCAATAAAGTGAACTTTACGGAAAAAACGAAGGGTAAATTCAAACCAAATTAAAAGTTTACGACTTACACCCACCTGTGCCTCAACCCCACAAAAACCCTGAGTACCGACAGTTTTGTTTGGACTAATAATACCTTCATTTATTGGAAGTGTAATAACATCATGCCATTCGGCAGCTTCATTCGCTAATGCCTCAGAGTAATTAAAACCGTGTGAAGGATGTCGTCCAATAAGGTAAACCACAAGCATGGCCCCATTGAAGTTATTCTCCTTTCGAGCAACACCGCGATACTTCCAACAGCTAGTCCGCTGCAGATGACGGCGTTTTCGCCTTATTTCAATATCCACAGATGGGATGCTTACCACAATAAGGAATTTCCGCCGAGTCCATGTATGTACAGTACTCTGTGGAATATATCGAAACGCATCGCCCTGAGAAAGTTTTATAGGCGAAAAGACAATTGTGGTATTTGAAAGTGTAGATGGTGTAATATACTCTTCCGAATGCAACTCAAGGGTGAAATGCAGGAAAGATGATATTATAATCACCCCAAGCAAAAAAAGCAATACAAGAAAAATAATAGAATAAATAAGAAACGAGGGCGTTGATAATAACGCTGGCCGTTTCACTTTTAAACGTCTCATCTATGGAAAAACAGTGATAACATTTTTATAGGTGAGGAAAGGAAAAAAATAAAAATAAAAGTGTATAGAAAAGTACTCATAAGAATGAGAAGCAAAACAAACACACACACACACACACATATTTGACATACATACCCATTCTCTAGAGCAAAAGAAAAAAAAAGAGAGATGATTCAAAGGGAAGCCCATACGACCCTAGAGTTAAAAACACAAAGGACACCCATTCAAAAATGGATAAATGCATAGAAGATTAATGGATAAGAAGAAGAAAATAAATATCCTTTAAAAGGCCTACAAACAAGAAAATGAATAACGACGTCTACTATTACGGTTTAAATATCTTGGCTGAGACCCGTTGTGACTTCCAAATCGGTCCATTAATTGTTTATACTCCTTTTCACGCACACGATGTATCATTATGGAGCTTTCCTTCACCTTATTTACACGAATTCCCTGGTGAACATCATGAAATGAACACTTTTTCTCCATCACATAGTGAACACTCGCATACCTGGTGGTTCTCAACACGAGTCCAACCATAACATCTTCATGCTGCATGCGTCTAGATATAAACTCAGCCTCACGATCCACTGTGTATGGAAGTTGTACTAAACGCCTTATATCTTTATTAGAGACGATATGCGCAACTAAATTCCTAGAAAGTGTATAACAGGGACCCAATGCAAATTCATACTTTAGTATGGAATTATTTCTTCGTATTTTTGCTGGAAAAAAACCACCCCAATAAATTCCATTTCGTGGTAAACTACGCAAATCTGTAAGAAACTGAGGCACACGTAAGAATATATCATCATCAGCCTTTGAGATGAAGTTTACATGAGGGAATAACTTTAGTGCCGTCTCAAACCAATAATATGTTTTCTTGCTCATACCCACTTCGGCTTCCATACCCCAATTATCATGTGTACCAATCCTCTTATTAGTGGATGAACGGCCTTCATTCATCGGCAGTGTAATGATATCATGATACTCATCAGCTTCCTTCTCTAGTGCAGTAGAATAGTTGTAGCCATGTGATGGGTGCCGTGCAAGTACATACAACACCAACATGGCCCCAGTGAAGTTATTTGATCTTGTCGCAACACCGGGGAACTGCCAGCATGTAGTCCGCTGCAGATAACGGCGTCTCCTCCAACCATCAACATCTACAGATGGAATACCAAACAGAATGAGATAGTTTCTCTCTTTCCATGTGTGCACTGTACTGTGTGGGATATATCGAAGTTCATCCATAATGGGGCTATTATTCAGTAATTTAGCTTCAGTATAAGTTTGATCATCAGCCATATCGGAAGGTTCCTCAAAAGTATCTTCAGAAGCAGGTTGCACATTTAAATACATTGAAATTGCCAAAAAAAGGAAAAGTACAACAATACATGCGGCGAAGTCAATAATTTTACACCACCATAATCCTAATGATCTTTTACTCATTTCCAAATCCCTTAATTCCCTTGGGTAGTAAAGGGTAATAGAGAAGTGATAAGAAGAAAAAGTGCCCAAAGAGGTTAATTACCAATCATCACATATTTCGTTCAATATGTATGCATAAGGAGTCTTTTAGTGTATTGTGGAGATTGTGTACAGTACAACGCTGTGCATGGAGAGTAAAGGTGTCAGTACACTGAGTGCCGCAGGAACACTCTGCATTGTGTGGTCTCAGACAGAGACTGAGAATACAAGGGGCTTCCCATTTCACAATGAACACCAAAAAGAGAGACTGACACATCACAAACACAGCACAGCATAGAAAGCAAGATTTAGAGATATATTAACACCAAAGCAACTAATGGGAAAAAAAGAAATTCATGAGGAGACCACTAATATTGTTGGGAATATGGGTAACAAAATAAAAGAGGGGAAAGTTTATAGATGCTGTGTATAGTGTACCTTGCAGAGCGTATAACCATGGGTTCCAACTTTAGGAAATGGTAAACAATATACTGTGTGAATGTATTACTGAAAAAAAATATCCAGAGGCGTGAAGAAAAAAAAATAAATAACCGTTAATTTTGTATCCAAATAAATATGTAATTCTATACCTCAAGTAATTATTTACTAGAAAATGTACATAAAAACACGATGAGAAGGATAACAGCCCTTCACTCTAGTATATATATATATCTGAAACATGGAGTGACGTGCAAATTCATCTTCTCTTTTGATTAGATTATTACAATATCCGATAAGAAATCTGTTTTCTAGCTCTCTTTTAGATGTTTCCATTATTTCTGCCATTTTTCCTCC